AACAAATGGCTGGTTAATTATGGAATGGTGATCGGACTGGAGGCCGTGATAGGATGAAGAATCAGGTATGAATTTTTCCGAAATATTTTGGTGCAGGTCATCAGGTTGTACGAATGAATGAGATGTACGAAAATCATCAATATAAGTTTGGGAAAATTAATTTTATTTGTATTATGTTAATGTGAAATTGGGTGAATTTAGGAAGTGAAATGCTATAGGGCAAGAGTACGCGGCGGTTTTTGAGGAGGTAGAACCCTGGATTCTTTCATTTTCGATCTATTATATGGTGAAAAAGGGGTTTTCAGCCGTGCTACTATTGCTATTAAAACAACGAAATCACCTTTCCATCAGTAAACGGGGTAATTTTAGATATAATAAATAACTCGCTGAAGAACACCAAGCGTATCTATTTCATTAAAAAACACCATAAACTATTATTTGTCTTCTTATTTGGTCTGTAATATATTCGTTTCTGACTTTATATTTTTTTGTAATGCATAGGGGGGCGATGCTCAAAAAAGTTTGGGAACCACTGATTTAGAGTGTCCAACATTCTTGGTGATATGAATCCGTTGAAATGTGATACTTGTTCCGGGCGCGGCAATGAGGGTAACCTTATGACTCTTGCGTAACCTTGCCAAGACAACTCCCATTCGCAAAAGTCACGTAGGCTACAATCTGCGTGGAGCCGAAAAGTTTATTAGGTATTGGACATGAGGCCGTGCACTGGCCCCTTTCCGTGAAAAGGGCGCTTACTAGGTCTTTATGGTCTCTTTCCATGCGCTGTACCATATCGGCGTGACGTTCCTCGATTAGGCACAGTTCTTCATGCCTATTCTCATTGGCATCTCTTATGGCATCAAGATATTGCTGTTCCCTTTCTTTATGTTGCACTTAGCGTTGACGCATGTCAAGCGCCAATCGTTCAAAATATTCTCCAGACAGGCAGGTTCTTCAGCTTTTTACCGCCATTGTCTATTAGATCACCCTGTTGGCAGCAGACTGAAGTTGAGAAATATCCGATTTCGTACCGTTTGGAATTTAGAAATCGCCTGCCGACAACGCCATGTTTTGTTCAGACAAGGCAAGGAGACTACTGTTTGAAGTAACGAAGTGTATTACACAATATATACAAAGGAAACGGCGAACAGTATAAGATCAAATAACAAGCAGCCAGCAAGCTTAACAGAAAACACTAGAATGAGTAATAGACAGGGAAATCCCCTGATGTCACAATATGCTATATACAAGACTATGCGCATGAATATCTACCACACGTGATAAAAGATAAATTTTGCAATGTGCTGTCTTTACACAGTATATTGTATTTATATATTTTTTAACTTGCAGAACGGGATGAAATTCCAAGACAAATAAGTTCGCCGAAGCTATTGCAGAATTCAAGCAATCAGGGAATAAAAATTTCGGAACAATTTTTTTACTGGCTGAATGCATGCTTAGAATGGGATCAACACTGGGATAGTTATTGAAGAATTAGCACAGATTGCGATTCCCCAAATATTACTGGAAAGTATTTTTTTAGATTTGGGCATATTTATGCTAAATAATAAGAAAATGCACTGCTTCTATTTCGAATGATGTGTATCGAATAGCAATGTGCATATATCGATTAAATGAAACAATCAGAAAAAATCCTCTAAAGTAATAAGAAGGCAAAAAAAAATTTGCTCAGTCTTCTCTGCAGAAAGACTTCCGCTTGTGGTTCAAAAGTTTGAAACAGTTTGATGTTTTATTGAATAGCATGCTAAACCATATAAAAATTATTGGCGGTGCCAAATTACAAAAATCACAGGCGTTTGCTTTAAATTGGATGTGTTTCGCAACTCATTTCGTTGGCCATGACTTTTTCTTCTAAGGCTGAGGAATACAGTAAAAAGGGCTTAAAATAAGATTAAAACTTGGAGGGGCGATGAACCGAGTCTTACTATACATATCGAAACATCAATACAAATAGCAACATGTGTGACAGATTGCCCCGAGGATAAAAAAGCTGATTTTGGTGACAGCATAGAATTCAAGAAGAAGGAGCTGAGGAAAAAACGATCATAAGAATATGACATGTAATTCTAGAGTTTTGTTGCACACTAACACAAATGTATTTCTGTACGGTTTCGTCTGGCCAAAGTCAGTCTAAAGTTTTATACGTATAATCCAAGGATGCCGTAGAGGTAATAAGTAGGACTATACTTGTATGACATGTAATTCTAGAGTTTTGTTGCACACCAACACAAGTATATTTCTGTAACGTTTCGTCTGACCAAAGTCAGACTACCTCAGACAAGCAGTTTACAACAACAAGAATATGACTCTGAAAATCTATATTTCAACTAGAATGTTGGACATGAAACTCTTTTTATATGTTAGCTGTCGCTTTAATATTATCCACTAAACTGGGTTTCCTAACTTTTAATCTATCTCATTTTTTGTATTACTTTTCACACATTTACTCTCAACGAGCAGTTATGGGGAGGGGAACTAGGGATATTTTTTGTGATCTTTTCGGTTTGACATAATTGTATACGCAAGAATCAGAATAGAGTATGGTTTTTTTATCTTTTCAGGAACACCCATGATTCAACTTCACTCATTTGGGTTCAGTATTTTAATTTATGTGATGTTTGCTATTTTCATTGCAAGTGTATACTATGGATTATGTATAATACACAACGATCAAAATTTCGCGCAACTCATAATTTTTCGTTACGTTACCATGTACTCTCGTTTGTATATATTTTTATCAAATTTTTGTAGAATTTGAGTAGCTTATGTATGTGTTTAGTGATTGGCAAGATTTTAACAGTTATTTTAACAAAACGTAGATGTTATAACAATCGCCATGGCTAAAAAGAGATTCACATTTTGTCAAACTATAATGAATACAAGCAAAATAAGAAGTGTATTTTGAAGATGGTTTTTGGGCGCTCCAGAAGTGTGTGTACCATTATGGAAGTAGCTAATTTTGTTCGCTTATTTTACATCAAGTTGTGTAAAGGGACGGAAGCCTATGGGCAGGGGGTATATTCACTTGACTAACACAGATGGCCCCTTAACTCGTAATAGAACTAAAATACGAAAAATCGGAATAAAATCATGGCCCAACCCTAAGCTGATACATACAATACGAGAGTACGGGTGTATAATGATTTCTACTTATTTCGTTGAATATAAATTTGTTAACATCTATACTTCACCCCAGCAGGATTTACTCACTTCATCAAGGAGTTTCAGTTTGGTCAATAGTTTTCTATCGTTAATTTGTTGGTTTTTTATGAAGTTTCCGATCTTGTTGAAATTTGATTTCTTTGAAAAATTTTCCCATAGAAAGTGAAAATTTTCCCGATTAGTAAAACACAAATAGTTTGAATTGCGATAATAATATTTTTGGTACTTCCGTAGTGTGTGTACTAGGTGAGGGTTAGGCCATAATTTTATTCTGATTTCCCTTATTTTGGTTCTATTACGTGTGCGAGACTGTCTGTGTTAGTCAAGTGAATATACCCCCCGAACATAGGTTTTAGTCTCTTTACACAACTTGATGTAAAGTAGGCGAACAAAATTAGTTACCTCCATATTGGTACACACACTTCGAGAGCGCCATATATTTAACCAAATTGGTTCGTCATTCTTAGTTATACCTACAAGTAAATGACATTGTTTTTATTTTATTTAAAACAGTATACGCGATCTTTATATCTATCGATTCACAACTGTCCGTAATGAACCAGAATTATAATGACAAGCAAGCATGACATCACATAATATTCTGGACTTATCTATGAAAAGTGAACAGTGACTCTCATCGACTCATATCACCTATGGATGCGTATTATCAAGTTCGTTTAGCATTAGAGTCAGGACCGCATCCAAGTGGGTTGCGGGTCGTAAAAAACAAGCATTTCTCTGTATTATGAAGAAGAATTTTTAGCAAGAGCTGGGTGTTACGGACTAACTTCCATTGATTACAGTTGAATGGGTTACAGTTATAAAATGCTGGACGTTGAGCACTATATCAATTAAGCTGATGACTTTGTGTATATGTTTCAAAATGCATAATATATCAATAGATTTTTAAAATTGTTTTACAAAGAGTAGCTAGCTCACGTGCTGAAATTTAATCAGTGTAAGGTGCATATTTTTCTCTTAAAAAGAATGCATCTGTAAGGAAACTGTAACCGTCACTTATGGCGATGAAAAGTCCAATAATCCACTCCCACATTCTCTATCCCAGGCGGGATTCGAACCTACGATCCGATGGCGTGTGAACTGAGGTGCGTATTGCTAACGCTTAGTGGTATGCGCCAATCGCCGCGCCTCACGTTAGTTAGTGTATGATCGATTTCATAGCTGCGTCGAACATCCAGATAAGTATCTGTATATCCTTATCCAGAACACAAAATGTTTGATAAAAGATTATGTTTTCCCTAGAAACGAGAATATATGCTGATATTTAAGATGTCTTGAAAAGGCTTTTACATTCATAGATATTGTCGGCGACGACGATTTCAAACCGCCGAGATGTCGTAGGGTTATCATTAGGGATAACTCGTACGGTCAAATATCATGATTGTTTTTTACGAAGCGATCAAGAGTATTTATAGGCTTTATCTTAGCCAATGCATTGCTGCTCTACTAATATAACATAAGCAAAGTTTGCAATTAAGCAGTCAGAACGGGTATAATTTCCGAATGTATGTAAGAGATTGACGCTAAATCTAGACATTATCGGTTCTTGTCGCCGGTCAGGGCTTTTCTTGACAAGTCAATTTTAGATACTTCACATCGAACATAGATTAAGGCTGTTGTGGTATTTACCTTTTAACTTTTTGGTTCGGCGGATAATTTACCGTACGCTAAAATCGACTGCCATCCACTAAGTTTTCTTATGACGCGTGATAGGCTCGTGGCGATAAAGGGTTAACCTAGAGCAATCTTAGTAATCAAAAAACATTTGATTACAAATGATTATTTGGTGTTTCGTCAAATATTTCGCGCGGGAAGCCACAAGCGAACGCTTCAGTCGCGACAGTACATTATGGGATGCGGATGAATTTTGTCGTAGGATGATCAATGGATTTTCTATTTACCTTCGAAGCAATATTCAGGTGAGAAATTTGCACTTGCTAACTTAAGTTTTTACTGATGTTATACTATTTTCCTTTTACGATAGTCAGAGAATTGGAATTTGTAAATTACCACGTAAAACTTACCGGATCACAGAAATAAGTTATTGTTTTGTGATTTATATGTCTTACGGGTTGAAATCGCAGACTTATCTAGCTTTTTGAATCAAATACAAATTTAACTCCACCAAAGTTCCCTTCATGCATACAGACGGGATAGCGGCAATTTGATAAGATTATGATTTATTTGTATGGTCGTTGTTGACCCTCTGTGCAGTCATCCCCCAGTTTGGGAAACCCTGCTCTACGCTATCTAAATTAACATGCCCCCTTCATATAAATCTGATGCATACCTTTAGAAACCTTAAGTATATAAGACAAACCTTAAATATTTAGACTTGCCATGATATTTCTTTTAATTTCGTTATATTTATCGATTGCGAATAGATTCAGTATTTTTAGGCACAAATTATAGTGTTGTGCGAAAGCCTAATATTAATATCTTTGCTTTCCAGATTCAGAACTATGAAAAATGGAGTTACGAAGAAACTGACGAAATTGAGAAAAATCTACAATACAGGTAAACAATAATATTTAGATTTAAGTTGTGTGGCGGGACTGGAATTGTCCTATTTTTTATTGTTTTGTATTTTATTTATATTTAGTGTCTAGCTATTGCGTATGCATTGGTGTGTGGAGTCTGAGCCCTAATTCGCCCAATAGTTAGATTCAGTTACTTGACTCCAACCACCACTACATATGTGAACTGTGCTGCGGATTAGCAGTGTCAGCCTCTTTCTGCTTTGCTGTCCTAAAAGTAAGCTTTGTATTTTGTCGCACTTATTTTATCTGCTTTAAGCGTGGATTTTACACTATTTTAATAAAGTCTCTTCGTTTGCATCGTGAACTTCGAACCTATTTGTGTGACTTTGCAGCACACGGGATCTTCTGAATTAATTATTACAGTATTATTAGACTGTATTAGTGGCGAGCACCTACCGGTATTCCGGTTAAGTCGTACTTCTGCAGTTGAATTTTTAATATTCATGATTTCCGTAAACAAATGTGACATTTCTACACATTAGTGACCCGGGAAGATTTAGTCATATATTTCATGAAACAGTTGTGAAAGTAATTATTGTGTACTTTGATATTTTAGTAATTGTAAATTGTGCAATTAAAAAATTACATGTTAAAATATTAATTTAGAACAGATGTTTCAAACTTGCGGCCTGGGGACCGATTGCGGCCCGCAGGATGATAGTTTGTGGCCCCCGCCATAGAATGAAAGTTTAATATTAGAGTGGCCGCAAGTCACTTAGCTCAGTTCGCATGATTAATATGTTCAATATATTTTGTAGGTTCTGGAATGCTTGATGTCACAATATCTTCAGTTATTATTTTATTTAGTCCTAATTTGTTTATTTATGTTTTCAACTTGTTTTGTGTTCAAAAAAATAAAGAAATTGGAGGGAATTTGAATTTAAAAACTAAGCTTTTATTGTGAAGAAAACCTGATGCCGCTCAGACACACACATACTCTGCCTCCAGTGGCCCCTGATTTAGGAAACTGAATGGCCAAATTTACCAGTGAAGTAGTTTTTTCAAATTGCCTTATATTTTTAGGTTGAAATAGAGAGACGTGCAAAATCAGTGGAAAAACGGTAAAAACGTCTGGAAACCTTTCACCTGCAGATGGCATAATAAGGTACTATATAATACACTAACACATCCTTCTAAACAAATAATATATGTAATTTTTGGTGTAAATTACTTTTCTATGTAGTCGACGTTTTCCGTTTTAAAGTATCAAAGACTCGTGTAATAAAGTATATATTATGTTAACTTATTGTTGCTGAAAATTTTTTTCTTACAAAAATGGTTAATTGAGCTTTTCGGATTCAATTCATGGGTAACGATATCAAAAAGTTTGGTAACCACTGTAATAAAAAGATGTTTCATCAAAATAGATAATTGTAGGAGTCGCGTTGTGGTTGCCTAAAGTAGTACAATATTCGGTACTCGCGAAATATGTGTACCAGGTTACGGTTGGGCCATAATTTTATTCAGATTTTCCTCATTTTAGTTCTGTTACGAGTTCGGGGACTGTCTGTGTTAGCCAAGTGAATATACTCCCCATAGGTTTCAGTCATTCTACAGCCACACAACCTAATGTAAAATAGGCGAACAAAATTAGTTACCTCAATATTGGTACACATACTTCTGGCGCGCCAATTTTTATTTTTTTTATTTGATGTATGTCCAATGACAATGCCTTGTTAGGAGCAATCCGTCGTTAATCCAATGACAAAAGTGAGTTTCGCCACAAATTGTAGATCAGTCAGACTGCCCTATTGTATACCGGTAGGTGAATCAGACAAAGCGCATAAATGTTACTGTAAATCCCCCATAATAATCAGTTGACCATGTCGTTCATATTTATAATTGTTCCCGAATGGACTATCATACTAGATTTTCAATACCGATGTTTTATAAGTGGGTCTCGCCAAGTATATTAATGTCGTATTAACAGTAAATCTCCCGTAGTCGTACACCCTCTGGTAATATTTAACCATGCCACTCGTGTTAAAAACGATCTTATATTCATTAGATACAACGTAGAGTGTGTATACATATAGCCGTAAACCCCCTATGGTCGTCGTAAGTTCTATTAAACAACCCATCAATATTTTGTTGAACACTAGAATTATATTACAAATTTTTTGTGTCGAACAGTGCGGGTACCGATGTTATTTATGTTCTTATGTTTATATATTTATATACGATGGAATAAATCAAATACATACTTAGTTCTTGAAGGGAATTAGGTTAAATAACAGTAGCTATGATAAAAAATGCTGGAAGGATTTCTTTCTTCATTGACAGCATATTCCTAATTATTTTGCATAGGATTTTTTGTTTAATCTAATGTGGGAAACCCGTTTTTACCACAAATGGTAGATCACGCGAAGTATCATATTATACGAGTAAATCCGACAAAGCGTATAAATTTTAAACGTTCTTACCGCAACTTTCTCATAGTCGTACATTTTCTAGAACTAGTTAGCCATGCCATGCGTGTTCCAAACTCAAATTATTAACTTATAACGATGCTCTAAATCGGATCTAACCAAATCAGTATAGCCGATAGTCCCCTACAGTCTGTATAATACACCCTTGGTAGCACCACTTAACCATCCCATTAATGTGTATAAGCGTTAGAAGCTAGAATTATATTCCCCCATTTCTGTGTCGTAGAGTGCGGGTACTGGTATGTTATGTTGTTATGTGTAATTATATATATATAATGTAATAAATTACTTACACACTTGGTAATTGAAATAGAATGAAGTTCTTCAAAAGCATGAATTCAAATAACACTAGCTATGATTGCCAGACCGTAAGGCGTCGTGTACATAAATATATCGGTTCGTCGTAACCACAAATGGTAGATCACTCGTAGTACCTTACTAGGTAATTGAATCCAACAAAGCCTGCAAAGTCTGTACCCCAAATTATAATCGGTTAACAATTCCGTTTATTTTCAGAAGCGTTCGAAATTTCCAATAACGATTTTATATACAAGATTGGATCAAATGAAGCGTGTTAATATGGCATAACTGTAAATCTCCCATAGTCGTGTTGTCATTTGTGCTTTGGACTAAAATGAGATTAAATTTATAATAACGTTACCATGTAACTCTTATACACCCAATTTTCCAGGTGTATAACCGTAAATCCTACATAGTTTTTATATACCCCCCTTGTACATACCCCCCTTCCCACCGTAACCATCCCATTAGTATTCACAGGCGTTATATTCTGTTCATATAGCGATTTCTAAAGGTGTATCTATCGGCAATATATATCGGTATAGGCTAGATCAAGACCAATATTTTCAATATATATTCTGGTTTTCAATCTGATCCAGAATCATTAAAATATGGATGTTGAAATTATTTTCAGCCTGGAGTTATCATGTTCCTGGTATTTGTTGCATTCTTAATTCTAAGCCATTTTCGCCCCCACCCATGAGTGTAGAAACAGGATTCTGGTTTGAGATGTACCAATGTATCGAGTATCGGTATCGGCAACATCAGCCAATTTTTTCGGTATTGGTATTTGTTTCTGTATCGGCTAAATGTAGACCGATATTTCCGTATATTATCTTTTTATTTTGATCCAGATATCCATTGATTCTCGTAAAAGGTGTGAAAATGCTACACATTGCTGACCGGCAGTAAATAGTCATATATTCCAGAGCAGTGATTCTCAAACTAAGGTTTGAGAGCCGCACGCGGTATTGTATAAATCAAATACCTCAATGATTATTTTAATTTCTAGAGCAGCTACTGCACCTTGCATCCTCCACGATTACGACCCGCTTTGACAAACTTATTAGAAATCAATGCCAAATTTAATGGCTGTTAGTCTAGGGTGGGCAAAATCGAATCTTTTTTCGAATCGAATCATTTGAATATTTACACAACAGGGACCAGAACGTCGGAGGTCGATACTCTATTTGGAAATTAATAGAAACATTGGAAAGTCTGCAATAAAGCGTTTTTTTACTGGTTAATGAGTATTTCATCATAATCGCTGATTGTCTTTGTCACTGCGATCGTTTCGGCGGTGATATCCTAAAGTTGGTATTTTATATTCCCGCCCTTTCTCGTTTTTTTTTTGCAAGAATTAGGGGTCGGCGGATATCGAAGTTTCATATTTCTAGTATAACCTTGCGTTCACATCAGCGACAGCTGTTGAATACATTGAGGGCTGATTTCAAGACCAAATAAATTTTACTTGAGTTTTATCCTCTGCCTTGGATTTGACCTTCCTTATCACCGCTTGTAAATTAATTAACCGCACCTGTTTAAAGTGACGGTAACCGAGATGATAATTGAGTTTCTCATACTTTCTATGATGTTCGTGTTATTTTAGTATTAGCAACCTAGCAAATTTACGATTGCGTGAATCCTGAACGTTGATTTGAAATTAGCGATTAAATAATTTAACAATAAAGATTTTTGTAGGCCTTTGTGTCTAATAGAGCGTCAGACGCAAATTATAACTAATTACTTCAAGGTTTAACGTTTTTTATTTCAACACAACACCCCGATGGATATTATAGCTAAAATACTTACTGAGTAATGCTTAATTTTCTTTACGGAATTTGGAAATTCAGCACTTCAGTTAATGATTTTGTTTATGTCATGAAGGCTTAATTATTACTGCCCATGCTTCAAAATTTAACAATTGTAATCATTTTCGATGATAATAGACGCAACAATTTGTGAACGAGTCAGTGTGCATTGTTACAACGAAATTCACGATTAATTTTACGTTCTATTCTTGGCTTAACAGCCATGCATGGTGGAGTAAAATGTTTACATATTCAAAACATTACTTGGCCAAGAATGGAAGGGATCACTAAAGAGCTAATACAAAGTTCTTTAAAGGGAGTAGAACATGAAATATTTTATCTGGTTACAACTTAATGAGTGTTTTTCATACAAGTAACTCATACCAGCTTTTGGAAAAACTTTTGGTCATTTTTAAATACATGCTATTTATATAACCAGAGTTTTCTAACGACCTAAAATCGCCTTTTGCACAATGAAACGCTGAAAAGTCATTTTAACATTTAATTTTGATCAACTTTATGTTCGGTAGTGCAAGAAATGGCTAATGACATGTCACATGTCAAATTTGCCTTTTTTTTCTGATAGCGAGCGCCGTTGAGAAATCCCGCACAATTCACGATTGAGTTGGAGACGCGCAAGTTCGGTGTCCAAGCAGAGCGGCGCACGTGCTACCGGATATTCGAATAGTGAAATGCCATTCGAATATTTTATTATTCGAATATTTTGCCCATCTCTAGTTGTTACGTGTGATGTTGTTACGATGACTTGGTATTTTAAATACGTGCTTATGGTTTGTTGCTATTTTACCTTGCCTTGTTTGTGTGCGGCTCGTCATAACTTTGAGGTTTGAAATGCGGCTCTGGGACTAAAAAAGTTTGAGAACCACTGTTCCAGAGTATTAAAAACAAACTTATTGACAGTTCATTGATATTGTAATTTTTTTTAATTTGTGCACTTTGAAAACTGACTGACATCTTATGGGTAATATTTGGAATTTAAGAAATTAAATGACTACCAATACCTGCACTATTGAAGGTTTTATTTAAATTGGCTTACATGTGTGCTTTTTTTCCCCCCCTCCCTGGACTATATATCAAACTTTGAGAATTGGTGTCCAAGATTTTTGATACTAACAAGTCTATATAGTTTTAGTTTATATCTGCATCATTTCCCTATTCGTTGATACAATAATCTTCATTATTCTTCCTTGGCATTTTTTTGTTTAATCTGATGAGCGAGGTGATTTTTACCACAAATGGTAGATCGCGCAGAGTACTATACTATGTAAGTGAATCCGACAAAGCGTACCAGTGCAACTGACTTAAATGCCCCATCGTCTATAGCCCCTGGTAATAAATCCACTATGTCGTTCATGCTCATAAGTTAATTCAACTAAGTGCATATCGTTGACCTCCCATCGTCGTACACCTCATGGTACTAGTTAACCATGTCATTCGTGTTTCGAACTGAAATAAATTTAAACGATTTCATATAAAACATACAACATAGTGTATCAATATGGCTGTAGATCCCCTATACTCTAGTCTATATATATCCGCCCCATTTTTTGCAGTCTTAGTACCTATCTCATCAATGTTAATAACTGTTAGAAACAAGAACTATGTTCCAATTTTTTGTATCGTTGAGTGGGGCTACTGATGTTCTATATAAACTTATATAGAAATAGGTCATTTAGTTAGGGTAGGTCATTAGTATGGCAATATTTATAATTTGTGCAATTTGAAATCTGAGACTGACATCTGATTGTAATATTTGAAAATAATTCTTTAGTCAGGATCATTGCAAATGAGTAATGTTTGTATTTTGGGGCAAATCTGCGACGTATTTGAAAATGAACAAAAAATGAATATCAGTGAGAGTTATCTTTATGTATGTTGTAAGCTTTTTGAAGCTTACCTCGTTTGTGAAGGGCCAAATGTGTAATGAAAATATTTTCAGTTTTTCAATTTAAATCTAATGTCGTACTTT